ATCAAGCATGTTGTGCACTTCAAGCAACTCGTCCAAGACTTGGAGTCAAGGCGTTTCAAGGTGTAGCAAGACGTCAGGGGGAGAATATAGCGATGTGACAAGTGGGTTAACGGCTTGCCACCACCTTGCCCGCACCCAGCTCCTAAATACCTGGCTCATAACGCACACTAGCTCATGCTTGCCTGGGAACGTTTCTCAAGGGCAAGTATGGCTTAGAATCGCTAGCCAAGTGAACTTCCCCAATGTCTCAACCGCACCCCGCATCCATTGTATACAAAAGTGCATATTAGTGTAGAAGTAGTGAAGTAGACTAAGAAGATTTCATAGTGATGAGGATTAAGTAGATCTTTGTAGATCTTCAGTTAATTCATTGTGCATTTTGCCCTCAACTACACACGCTTCCTCCCGCAGTGCTACACAAGCGGCGGAGCACACTTTCTACGAAGCCCAAGGAATTGAAGTTCTTCACAATGACCGTGGTCGTGCTGTACCTTCGAGGATGTCGAACCCAAGCCCTTCCAATCGGAGACCTATCCCCAATGGGTACAATGCGTGGGCGGCACTGAGCGGCAACCGGCGGGGCGTCACGGCCGCTTGATGCTGAGGGTAGGACAGATATACGTGGCGTACAAACGTAATCACGACCTCGGTGGCCGCCTCCACCTCCGCCTTTGCGTGACTGGTCAGCGTGAAGATCGTGGCAATGTATTCGCGGTACGGCTGTTCAACCGTGGACCACAATGGTTTGTGACGGCCAAAAGGGAATCCCGAGAGATCGGCATACAAGACATTGCGGGTGACGTCGACGGTGTCAGCCAAGACCGACAGCTTCACGAACAGCTGCACGCCAATGGCCCTGGAGATGGCCACGCCACGAAAGATGGCTTCGACAGTCGTGTTGGCGCTGCGGATTGCCTTGAGGTAATCTTCGATGGGAGCGAAGCCCAAGGTATCTATTGTGGCAGTGTCCATACACGCGTCATAGAACTCGGTGAGTTTAGGCAGCTTGGCGTCCACCAACTTTTCGACCAGCTTGTACGCCGCAGCCTCGATCACGGTGTACGTGGCATCGGTAGTACTTTGGTTGGCGTGGAGGGGGGTGTTCGTGTACCACGTCCCGCACGAATAGGAAAAGAAGTCGGTGCATGGGTCCACGGTTTGATCCATGAGGCTGGTCAGCTCTGTCGGAAACTTGGAGATGTTGCCGAAAGCAGACGCGACACCGGCGGACAAGGCAGCCGTAGCGGACACGATAATCTTGACCATCGCTGGCATATTGAAGAATGACCAAGCGACCAAACAAAGTCTTGAATGATGGGCTATCCATCGTAATTTGGGATACGAAGGAGACATTTGAATTCATGCATGAATGACCCTTTCTATGTTGATACGAATGAGACATCTGGTATTTGAATTCATGCACGAATGGCTCTTTCTATATTGATTAATTGAGTTTGGATTATCATTTGTTTAAGACATTCCTCCGCGAGGGCCGATACTAGAACCTCATGGGGAGGGAGTATCGGTTTCTTAGCTCAAAGGTCGTGGGTTCGATCCCCGGCTTCCCCGGATTATTTCCGCAAGGATTTATCCGTCCCTCCCTGGAGAATCCGGATAACAAGGGCTGCGTTCGAAGCACGAGGTATGAAGCGTTGTGCAAAGTACACAGCGAAGTTTACACACCGCACCTGGTCGAGCAGGCGCGTTACAATTGGCGAAGCGGTACAACAACATGTGGTCTCGATTAATTGAGTTTGGATTATCATTATTTTAAGACATTCCTCCGCGAGGGCCGATACTAGAACCACATGTTGTGGAACCTCTTCGCCAATTGTAACGAACGCGCCTGCTCGACCAGGGGCGGTGGGTAATCTTCGGTCTTTACTTCGCTCAACGCTTCATACCTCGTGCTTCGAACACAGCCCTTGTTATCCGGATTCCCCAGGGAGGGAGGGATAAATCCTTGCGGAAATAATCCGGGGACTCTGGGGATCGAACCCACGACCTTTGAGTTATAAAACCGATGCTCTACCTGTACCACTGAGCTATTTTCCCTCCCCGGTATTTTATGATGGACGAGAAAGCTGCACACCGCGACGAATGGCGTTTAGAGTATGAATATGAGTGGCGCATCGAACAACAAAACCGCGAAGACATGCATTTGGAGTGCGAGTACCGCTGGCGCATTGAACAACAAGATCGTCAAGCGAAAGCAGACGAACGATATATAGATTAAAAATAACAAAAACTATTTTTCAAGCTAAACAAATAATAAATCATGGAAAAGTATAAATAAATGAAAAAATACAAAAGTGACATATAGAGTTGTGCTCCTTTTTCGAGACGTAAAATTGCATATATTACGCATAATAGTGATCAAAATAGGGTCAATTCATCCTACTTAGGATAATACAGCTGATTTTTCTTAATATTATTCAGAACTCAACCGTACCACGTGGCAATCATCAGCAGCTGGGTCAAATTCACACCGAAGTAAAGACAAGTTCCAGGCCAAGTATTTTCCTTGCATAATATGGGCGCAGCAGGGTTAAACTCATACCGAAATTGAGGCAAGTTCCAGGCCAAGTATTTTCCCTGCAAAATATGGGCGCAGCTGGGTTAAACTCACACCAAAATAGAGTGAAGTTCCAGACCTAGTATTTTCCCTGCATAGTATGGAACTCACACCGAAGTAAAGGCAAGTTCCTGGCCTGGTATTTTCCCTTCATAGTATGGGCGCAGAGAGGCAAGCAAATTTAGTTTTTCATTTTACAATTTTCCTCCCCTGGTGCCCATTGCGGGGAGAGTCTTTTCAACTGTCGGCATAACAAACTGATACAAACGGATAATTATCCGTATGTACGGTGAATTATCCGGGAAATATAAACCACAGAGGTATGAGTGTGCAGATAATGGAACCGTGGAACCTTTCTCTTACGAAGCGACTGGTCTCCTATTGAGCAGCGACATAAAAGGCTCCCAAGGTTAGTTGTTGCCCTGTGAAGTCATACCGGTAAGTACGACAAACCAGTCCGAGGCTCTGCAATGTTGTTCCAAGGTGTTTATAGTTATCACCTTGTCATATTGGCGTAGTTGAAGTGCCTGGTGTAGTTAGTAAATTCGGCAAGGCGTTTTAATTGCTCGCCAAATACATTAAGGAAATAAAGTGACTGCTCCGTCATAGTAAGCCAAACGTTCGCAGCATAACTGTTACTTAACTACGCGGCACTTAGTGACAGGGGAGGGTTCTGACTCGACCGAAACTAGGCTTCCTGGTCTAGTCTAGAAAGGTTCTAGATTTGGGCCTATGTGATTGGGGCTTGGATTGTTGGTTATCCTACCCCTCTGCACATTTGGCTGCTGGTAGCAGTCAGTTTGGAATTCACCACTAGCAAATCAAGTGCCTATATCCTCAACTGTGTTCTACTGTCGTTGCTGCCCGGGAACCACAACATCAAGAGCGAGTTAACGGATGCATTGGCAAGTTGGACGGCAATTTGACCTTGGTCAAAACTATCGTCGACAATGGGGGCCTCAACACTGCATACCGGGCGTACCAAGACTACGTGCGCACTGTGGCCGATGCCACCAACTACACCAAGGAAACAGGCGAAAAGATGTTTTGGATCAGGTACGGCCAATAGTTGTGCTTGCCAAGGCGTTCAACTGCCCTGTGGACTCGCCTATGAACCCGACCAAGAAATGTGTTTTGTCGGAATAGATACACATACTCAATGTAATCACGTTACTTGGAAGTAATAAAAATCCAAAACGTTCATCAACACGCCGCTGCGCTTCAGAGTGTGCCGGCAGGGATTAGGAATGGCTCTTCGCGCAAAAATCTCTGCTTACTCAAAACAACTTCAATACCGTTAAGTAGAAAAATCAAACAACCAAATGCATAGATGTATTCGACGCGGTTACACTAGCACATGCCCTACAAGCGTCCTGTCACCCCAACAAGCAAAATGCAAACAATCAAAATCATATTCGTAGCGGCTACTCCAGCCCTATCACCCCTCCGCCCTAGTGAGATACATCCTTCGAAGTGTAATGTTCATCCCCGGGATTAGGCGCATCGCCAGCAATGTTGTCTGCGCCGGCTTGCACAATCAGCTACCATGGTCGTGACAGTAGACTTTGATGACAAATCCAAAAGTGACTTCATTATCAATCAGGTTTTGTGCCCATCAACCAAAGAATCACTTCGGTGTAATTTGGGCATCACAGTCAATACACTCTCAGTGTACCGAGAAATGGAGTGGTTCGGTCTGTTCTGTGCTGTGAAGACCTTGGGTATCTGAGTGCAGCCCCCACATCAAGAACGAAGTGATCAAAACCATGACCGGATGTTTGAGGTCCATCACCCTTTTGTCACGCCTCACTGCCCATACTCAGTAGGTGAATGGGACAGTTGAGGTGCTGAGTCATCATGCGGATGCTGAAGCCATTGTGCAGCGAGATGCGCCTACGACCCACGGAGTGGCCTATGAGGTAAAACTGGTCCTATCGGCCTTGAACCAACATCCGTCCGATTTTTCCCGAATTTGATCGATAGCCAGCATCCGGATATTATCCGGCAGCATTATGACTACCGAAACGAATGGCGGAGGCCTGCCACCCGAGCAGGTGACACCTCGTCCACTGGACGAGACCCCGACGGCCGTTCCACCCGAACGACCGTTTACCTACCCCAAACACTCGCGACAGGGCTCCATCGAGGCCGGCCGAAAACGTACTGCTCTTCCCAAGCGCGAACACCTGGTGACGGTCACGAGGTTCTCCTCGAAACCACCCCCCAAGAACATCAGTGGTGGCGCCCATGGGGTGGCCACACCACCACCGGACGACCCAAGTGAACACATGGACGTTACCAGCCCAGACGATCCAAAGACCGAGACACAACCACCACCACCCAATACCACCGATCCAACACGACCATCACCAGCGACAAGATACTCTGCCAAAGGGCCTTCCTTCGCAGACACAGTCAAGTCGTCAGGACGCCGCAACCCAGCCACTAAACACCGTGATACCCCCACGATGGAAGCAGACAGGGCCGCGCATGCGGAATGCAAAGCTCCCTGTCCAGCATGGACCGAGTCCAAACGCCCCCCTACAGTGCGGGAATTAGACATCTTGAATGCCATCCTAGCGGGGCGGCTACCACTCGACAACTCTCCAAAGTTTCTGAAACAAATCCTGTCGCCGTTAGAAATCGCACTGTTCAGCGACCAAATGCGCCAACAATTCGGCTTCCTCCAAGTCCCCATCAAAGCCCTGGCCCGCCTACCGGCGGAGATGACAAGCGTATCTCTGGGACGTCTGTTCTTCCCCATGCATGCCAGCGCAAACCACGACGCAGCCAAAGACTGCAATGCGATACGCCGCGACATGCACTCATGCTACATTCACCCCCACGGACGGAAATTGATCATTCAATTCAACTCGAAACATAAGGCCTCCCTTTGGAGGGACCGGCATGTATCGTTCTTGGGCCATGCCACCTGGTTGCGCCATTACCGCCGCCCGGAAGACTTGCCATCCAGCCTCGACACCGAGGAAACACAGAAATGCACGGCATACAGTTTCCGCCTGCTCAATATCCCCGCACATATCAAAGCGACCCAAATAATGCACCTGCTTCAACACCTTGAAGTAGAGGTAACGAGCACGGAAGTGGCCCAACATATGGGTAGCGGCGAACTGGACGCCAACAGCTATCTGGTCGTGACCAGTACGGACACCGTGCCACACACCCTGGAAGGCAAATCCCGCATTGTGATCGGCCCGACCACAATCCAACTATATCATTTCCAAGACTACGGTAATATGCCGTGCCTCGGGTGAGCAGACCTGGATCATCAAGCGGAAAAGTGCCCCAAGAAACCACTCCAAACGGCTCGAGTCATCACTCTGCCCACAACATGCTGGGGCATACCCATGAACACGGAGATGATCTCACGCCCCACTTTCCTCCTATGGAGGACACAAGTGGCACAAAACTTCTCCCCGATTCTCACCCCCCTAAAATCTGACTGAAAAAATACAGTTTTGGAGTTTAGCGCCACGAGTGGGGATATTCCTTCTTTCCACACAACATAGCTGGTACGAATGCAATGTACAACGTAGCTGAAACATTCATTATACATTGCTAGTATATGGTATTCCAAGTCAGATACATCCCTATTCGCCTGCTAGACACGCTTAGAGAGTAAACGCGGCCGTCGTCACACCAACGATGACACTGACTCCTGACATCGACAAAGGACTCACAGAAGACTGCGCGGTCGTGGTTGGGGTGGCAACAGTAGTAGCATCAGGCGCTGCGGTGGAGGGGACGGGGGACACGGACGACAACGTTAACGGCAAGCCCCTGACGGCACGGCAGTTGTGTTGGGAGCCGCGGTGGTGGTGGGAGCAGCGGTGGTGCAGGATGCGGCACTGGTGGAGGGGGCGGGGGGCGCCGACGACAAGGTCAGCGGCTTGCCGTCCACCACGACCGTATTGGATAGTGTCACGCACTTCAACTCGTTAGTGCCGTCGTCCACACCAGTCACGGTCGCACCGAAGCCCTTCTCTCCTCCCAACAAACGCGCGTTTTCCGCGTAGTTCTTGGCCAGCGCGGAGCCGGCTACACCCAACTGGTACCACCCACACGCGGCTCGTTCTCCGACGCACACCACCACCACCACGGACCCACCCACGCGCGAAAAGGCTGCCGACCACCTAGCCCCGCCCACGAACGGTGCGACGGCAGCGGCAGTATTATGGGCCCACGAACCACCAGCGGCGGACTCATACGACCCTACCACTGCACGCTTCCCTCAGCTTACCCCAAACCCCAACCTTCCAACGACTCAAGAGCCTCAAGTGGCGGCTGTCAGCACCATTCACTTGGGCGAGGCGGCAATAGAGGTGGATATCGACACCCACGGGGCTGTACCAGACACGGCACCGCAAGCGCCGACCACGGGGCTGAATGAGATGGAAACCACCCCTACGTGGGACATCGTGGACGAACTCAGCTCCCCCCGCGCGGAACAACCAACCCCACGCGACCATTCCCCACAGGCACCAATCGACTCCCCAATAACAACAACATTGGACGTTGATATGGATGGACCAGAACCGGAGCCGGGGCCACAAGCAGCACCTACGCCACCCACGAGCCGTATCCTCCCCAGGCTTCAGACGCAAGACACCGTCTTCACTAACCTCCAACCTTCGGATGTCGACATGGACGGCCCACTGGACGGCGATACGCCACAAGGGGTCATCGACCCCGACCACAACACCCCCACGACGGACGACCTCTTGGCGACACTTCAAACCCCGCGGGCCAGCCCGTCCATGATGGCCCTGGGGATAACGCGGACGGTGGCCACAGCGCGACCGACAATTGACATCTCAGAAACCCCTGCTCCACAGACAGCGCGCATTGACTATGCCCGCTCAGGGACGCTCCAAACGCTCATCGGGGGACGTTCGTGGCAAGAAGGCACGGTGGCCGCTCTCGGCCAATGCTGTGTCCTGGCCCTTCACTGCGCCAAACATGGGCATGGATGGTCCGCGCGATCCCACCATGACGAACTCACCATATCTGCCATCCACGACCTCAAGACGGCTATGAGGGACATGGTCCAAGCCCACGAGGCTTTTACCGGACATTATCTGTCGCGGTGGCTCCAGCAACTTGCAGACACGTCCACACCTTCACAGGAGTCAGTCCAAGACTACATCCGCCTCTTCTTCGACCGCCTTATAGCAGCCCACCTAGCCCAAGGGATTCCCAAGCGGGACTGGTGCGGATACCCTGAGATAGCAGCAGCGGCTGCTGTCTGGGGACACCCGGTCTACGTCCTTCAAGAACCATCCCACGAAAACACGTGGTGGATATGGCGAGTAGGATATACGCACGGAGCCACCGACATCTACAAAGAGCCCATCCCGTCCACTGAATGGGAAGCCACGATGGCCGCTTTCGCGCCAACGACGGTCCTGCTGGCCCACAAAGGCGGCAGTCACTTTGATCCAATTCATATGACACCACCCCGATCAGCACCAGCCCCGGTTATGAAACCCTTGCTCCAGCCAAGCCGGAAATTACCAGTCAATTATGCCAAGGCAGCAACCTTATGGATAGCTAACAACGGGGAAGACCTCCCGGGCGGTAAATTTCCCGTGCCGATCACCAACGTGGCGGATGTGATCCCCCTCTTCACCGACTTCCCACGCGCGGCCCGGGGGATGTTGTGGGCCCTGCGCAATCCGGCGACTCTCGTGAGTAAGATGCCGTCTCAGGTCGTACTAGACTGGGGTGATCACATGCTCCTTGACATTGTATACACCACGATGGACGCAATACGCGCCCTTCATAACCACCCTGCTCTCCATATCCGACTGGACATGTGGAAGGATGCAATCTTGGAAGCGCCAACCCTCCCCATCGCGATGGCGGAAGCCCTAGACGAGGCCCGATGGTCATCTCTAACACAGGGGGCTGAAATCCCCCTCGACATCTTCGACCACACCATCTTTACTACTCTTTCGCCAAAGCAACTCCAGTGGGCGGCGATTGTGGCGGCGCTGCTCGACAAGGAAGGATACGAGATTGACGAACTTCCTCCCCTTCTTAATGTAGGAGACCTCCTACTTACCGTCCGGCTCGGCGACATGGTTCAGATCCTCAATCTCCTACCGCAGGGCAAGTGGACCCGACTACGGCCATGGATGGAGGTCCATGCATTTGCATGGGGGTACTCCCCCAGCGGATACCAGGAGTAGACGACGTCGACCCCACCCATGCATATATCCACATTGTATTCACCCCGCCAGCGGCCCCAGGGCCGTCATCCGGCTCACAGACCGCCTCCCCTCTTACATACTGCATCAACATCACATTCCCACAGCGAAACAACCCCTACCCCCACCCAGCCCAATCTCCGGCTCCTCACCCAAAACGTGGCTGGTTTCCGGAGGGACACCGTCTCGGCTTGGATGGCCAGCTGGAAAGCTCACCTCACGCATGACCGTCTCGATATCATTTGCCTCCAAGAAACGCATGTCTCGTCCCTCGCCCAGGCCACCACACTGACCACCACTTGGACCCGCATGTGGGGGCTCACCTCTACCCCCACCCCATCGCATACTGGACGGTCACGGAAGACAGCACCCACGGAGTCGCCATCCTCCTCAACCCGTTCTCCCGCCTGGCATTCACGGAGGATAGAGCAAGCTCCATCCCCGGCCGCTACATCCAAATCCGCCTCGCTCACGGTGGCTTCGGTATACGCCCCCAGCACATCCACGCGAGACCGACAAGAGTTTTTCCGCCGCCTCACATCGCTAACCCCACCTGCCACACCACTGTTAGTAGGAGGAGACTTCAACTGCGTATCCCATCCTCGGTGGGATCGCCACCTCACCAACCCCGCACGACCGCTCGGCTCCGAATGCGACGCCATGGAACTCTGTCTTACCAGACTCCAATTATGCGACGGTATCTGGCACACACGCCGGACACCACGGACCACCGAAGACGCCCGTAGTTTCCTCCAACACTCGGCCACATGCATCCGCCCCCAGTCCAACTCAACCTCTCGCATAGACCATATCAATGTCTCTGCGTCTCTCACAGCATCGGTCAAGTCCGTCACGACCCACACACCGGGCCAACTCAGCGACCACAACGCAGTGTGCTTGCACATTGGCACAACACTGACTCACGGCGCAGACCGGGTACGCCTGTACCCCATCCGATCGACTCACCCCCAGACTCTAACCAATCAAATTCTCGCACACATCGCCCGCCATGCGCCCGCCCACGCCCCGCCGGCTTTTATTGGGGTGGCATGGGACAAGTTTATTACCGGTCTCCAAGACGCCCTCGGGCACCTACAAGCGGCGGAACACCCCCCCAAACCCCCGATCAGCCGACTGGACGACCCAGTCGTACGCATCACCGTCATTGAGGCGGCCGCACACCACTTGACCGATCTATCGGAATACCAACACGGACGGGCCCTGCGTTTCGGAGACACGCCATCCCGGCGTTTCTTTCAGCGCTTCCGCTCGCTACCAGATATCTCTCCCCCGACAGGGTACCCCCCGACCACCTCAGCCGACAACATGGCCAACGGGTGGAGGGATATCATGTCTAGTTCGTACACCTCCCCGACAGATGGCCACGCCTTGACCACCACCACACACTCGGACCTCCTAAACACAGTGGCAAACCGCCTCGCACACGCCCATCTCGACCACTTGATGGCTCCCGTCTCCGAACGCGAGCTTTCAGCGGCACTAGCGCGCATGGAATGCTCAAAAGCCCCCGGCCCCGATGGCATACCCAACGGCTTCTTCCCCGAGTTCCACGTCGCTCTAACACCATGTCTCTTAGCCCTCTTCAATGGGCTCCTGCTGGGGCACCCACTGCCCCGCAGCTTCAGCGAAGCACGGCACACCATCCAACCCGGATACATGACATCCCTTTCATCGGGGGCGGGGCCCGCCGACGGTACCTGGGTCTGCAAGTGGGCCTCGGACAACTCGCCGACTCAAACTGGGCACACTGCTACGAATCAACGGTCCAGCGCCTCCGAGTCGCCAGTTCCAAGACGACCTCCCTACCTGCCCGCGCACGCCTATTGCAGGCGATCGTACAATCAAAATTCGCTTTTCTGGCCACGTATATTCCTCCCCCAGACCCGTGGATTCGAAAATTCGAGCTACTTGTATATCGATTCTGGTGGTGGGGAACCACCGTCGCTAGACCCGGTCACCTCCCGTCGCATATTCCCAGAGCCATACTCCAGCGGCCACGTCGAGACGATGGATGGGCCCTGCCCGACCTCCGCCACGTGGCGCGCCAACAGGCACTGCGCAGTTTCGTTCACTATGGCGCCCAACCAGGACACTGGGCCCGGGGCATTGCCCTAACGGCCTTACGCCTTCCCCATGGCACCCGATACACTCTCCACCCTGCGACGACGTCTGCACGATGTGCACTCTACGACAACTCAATGAAATACGGCCAAACTCTAGCCAGCAAGGCTCTAACCATCGCCATGAAGCGATCGCAGATAGGTCAAGACGCCACTCAGGCATTTCTCCTCGCGGCTAGAACAGCGTGTACTTACCCATGGGATAGCACCGGTCGATGTACCTGTCACATGCCACCCGACCTCGTCACGGCAGCCACCAACCTTCAGACCTCCCTCAACTGTGCGACAACCCCTGCCTGGCGCCAGATGCTCTAGCACAACCAAGTCACCACAACGACTGGGTCCGCGACCATCGGGCCCGCCCACTTAAAGAAGCTCCCTATGACACCTTCGCGGACGCCTTTGGCTCTACCACGACGACTACCCGGTGGTCGTTTGTGCCCCGCCACCACGCTACCATCCAAGACACAGCGCAACCTTCCGTGGTTTTTCATGCTCAGCGTCGGCCTCGGCCTCCAGGCACCGGCTCCGCTCCAAGATCCCCACAGCCGCGTATGGTTCCCTACGCCCCCACCTCGAGTAAACCTCCGGCGCCCACCCCCCTTTGTCAAACGCCTGTGTACCATCATCGGCGGCCACCTCCAGCCCCTCCCCAACATCGCCGACAAGTACGCTCAGCGACGGGCAGCTCTATGTGCCGCACTCGAAATACCATACAACCCCGACGCGTGAACAAAGACATGGCATGAGGTGCACCTCCCTGGAAGCCTTCAATGGTTCCAATACCGTTGGCATTTCCAAGCTTTTCGCTTCAAACAATCGGCGGCGGCGCCCCGATGCCCCTTCTGCGAGGCTCCCGATGCCCCTAGCCACACGTTCTGGTGGTGCCCCAGGGCACAGCAACTATGGAAAACTCTCTTCACTATATGGTACGGGGCAACAGCGGCTAGGCCGTCCGACCACATCGCCACCCTCATCACCAATGAACAACCTCGTCCAGCCCCATGGATGCTACAGGCCCCTCGGTGGACTACCCACGGAACTGCATACGACAATGTCTGCCACCAGGGGTGGCTACAGCTCAGATCCCTCAGGCTGCGCCTCCTATGGACGGACCGCTGCAACGCCATCCATGCTAACCCTCTCGACCCTCCTACATTGCCGGCCTTGCTCCCCAGCCTGGCCATGGTTCACTTCCAAGCTCTCGCAACATACCACACCCGCCGCTGCCATCAGCTCCGCGCCGAAGCGTTCACCGCCCTTGTGCAGCAGTGCCGGCGAGCGACGGCAGGACACCTTACCCCGCCTCCCACATCACCACGCGTGGGTCTCCTCCTGTTTGATGGTGCTTCCAGATCGGACACAGCTTGTGGAGGATCTGGCGCCATCGCCATGCCCATACATGAACCCCTATTGAGTGAATACGATGCTCACTACATCCCCACCACGACCACCAACAATATCGCTGAATATGATGGGCTCATCCGGGCCCTGACACTCGCGGTATCTATGCGCCTCACCCACGTTGAGGTTTGCGGCGATAGTCAACTCGTTCTGAACCAGATGCGCGGCCTCCACCGCGTTCGCCATCCGGGGCTCCGTGCCTCCTACCTTCAAGCACGCTCCCTCGCATCCCGCCTCTTCTGTAGATTTACACATCGCCCGCGCGATTTCAACCAGGCTGCCGACTTGCTTTCCAAACAAGCCCCTGATGACCGCCGCGACTACAATACAACTACAGACAGGGACCCCCTCCCTCCGAGCGACGCCGCGATCTACTACGACTACCTGGACTTCGATCTCCTCCATAACCCGGGCTAAGGCGTACAACCACCTCATATAGTTTTGTCTATATAAACTATAATACACCAACAACAACAAAAAAACAACAACCAACATCCGTCCGATCGTCTCGGAGGAATTTCTCCAACGACAGCGTTTATCGAACTCACGACGACTCCTCCATTTTTCTGGATTAGGTTTTTATGCGCAGGGTGTTATTTGGCAGATTTTTGGGAAATAGCTGGTGTGAAATGAGAGTTGGTGACTTATTCGTGTCAGTACTAAGTTTTTGGTGCTGTATATTGACTGTGAACCGGATTTAAAAAACTTTAGACACAGTGAATGGGGGTCTTTTGCCTGGTTTTAACATTAACAGTAAGAGTCAATGCGACAACGGATCTCATTTGTAGTGTGTTGGACTGTCCAGTCAAAGGTACGGGCTCGAGTCCGTGAGGCACATCACTTTTTTACTACTCTAGTAATACTATAATAATACTAATGACACCCGTCCGTTAAAATAGGACATTTCACGTCCACAAGATGATCTCAGAGATGCATTCCCTCGTTCCCTGTACGTAAGTGGCGTAACATGTTGGTTAATTGAGTTTGGATTATCGTAACAGGTTGGTTCAAACTGATCCTGATATGATATGTATATGATACTCGTCACCTATAAACATAAACTACCAACTTTTCACAAAATTTTCTGACTTCTATTTCGTATTCATTACTCAAAATTTCAGCAAATTGAGACGTAGAATCGACAGATCTCAATGTGGTGAAGAAATTCAACGTCTCAGATTCAAATTTGGTGATGAATTGGTCCAGAAATAGATATTTAACCTAGTGGTATTTTACATGGGGGCATGGATATTTGGCCATACGGGTGGCCGCTGAGATGTACTAGTATCTTTATTTTTGTATGTGGCTCTTATCCGTATGTAATATCCGGAGGTAGATGGGACCTTTAACCTGCTACTGCAGTGATAAAACGCATGAAATCGGTATTTAACGTTTTTGGTTTTTGGCTGCAGGGTGACAGTTGAACGTATATTCTTACCAGAAGTTGTAGATTATTGACAGAAGTTTTAGACTCTAAAAAGGCTCTAATACGTTAGTATTTTTCTATTTATCTCGTTTTAGGCTACAATACGCTACTGTAGCTCGGTTTGCCGGGTCGAATGATTCTAAATTACATACTAGTAGGACATACATGCTTACAGTACGTCGATGAAAGTGCAAGGCGACCTAGTTGATACTCCCATGCATTATCTGGCACATCAACAACGACTACATCGCTTAGAGCATCTCCACCGCATCCCAACTCGCCATCCCTAAAAATTATTACTACAGTTGTACCTCGTAGTTACGGATACTAAGCAGAATTTGGGGACTTATCCGGGTGATTTTGTCCCCATTTGCCTCGGACATCCCAAAAAGTGCAAATTATTGGGATATCCGAAGCAAATGGGGACAGAATCACCCGGATAATCCCAAAAATATCCGTACTGCAACCTGAAGTAACGATACAATCGACGTTCTGGGTTAACGTTATGGGGAAAATATTTGGGGATGCGGTGGAGATGTTCTTAGGCTTGCTCTACCGGTTGCGGAAGCCGTGGACATGTGCTGCATCCATTCGGCAACCTAATTCAACGTTGCACTTGACACTGTTTTGGCAGCTAAACCCACGAAGAGGGAGTTATTCATGACGGTACCCTATATTCCAACAATGCGGCCCACCCATAACCCACTTCGGCAAACCCTTGCGGCTATTCGAGGAAATGATACTGAATTTTACGGCACTTTGTGCACCTTGCCACGAACATTGGACTACTCAGTTATTTTTCGAGCAAGGGAATAAAAATACAAAAGAATATTTATTTGAGTTTCAAAATCAACTAAAAGCAGAAAATTCCTATATTGACTCCCCCTATTGTTCTTGTACTAAAGACAACAGTATAGTGTATCGCAGTACACTGGCACGATCAAGAGTGACTTCAATTACCTGTAGTGCTGTCTGGAATATCCTAAGCAAAATACTAGTACTGTACGTGCATGTACCGTATGGTATCTCCTTGGGCAAGACGTTGCCATGTGCTGCTGTGCCTCCATCCTGTACCGGTACTAATAGAATGTGATTCAGCAGCTGGTGCTACATATGCGTAAAATTCAAGGAAACGTTACAATAGGCCCAATCAAGAGGTCCTTTTCACTGGTTAAAATTCTACTTCTAACGTTAACGTTAGTACAGTAGTACTGTACATAACTGTAACGTTAATCTATGACCAAGAGGTCTAATACATATGGAAAGGGCCATTAAAAAGTGCATGCATTTTATCCACCACATGTCTCCTTGGTATCCCAAATTGCGATGGATACAGTAGCGGTAGCCCCATCATTCGCGAGCTTGTTTGGTCGCTTGGTCATTCTTCAATATACTAGCCATGGTCAAGATCATTGTTGCTGTCTTGTCCGTCGGTGTCGCGTCTGCTTTCGGCACTATCTCCGAGTTTCCGATAGAGCTGACCAGCCTCATGGATCAAACCGTGGACCCATGCACCGACTTCTTTTCCTATTCGTGCGGGACGTGGTACACGAACACCCCCCTCCACGCCAACCAAAGTACTACCGATGCCACGTACGCCGTGATCGAGGCTGCGGCGTACAAGCTGGTCGAAAAGTTGGTGGACGCCAAGCTGCCTAAACTCACCGAGTTCTATGACGCGTGTATGGACACTGCCAC